ACACACAGAGACACACACAGAGACACACACAGTGACACAAAGACACACACAGAGACACACACAGAGACACACACAGTGACACAAAGACACACAGTGACACAGAGACACACAGAGACACACACAGAGACACACACAGTGACACAAAGACACACACACAGACACACACAGAGACACAGAGACACACACAGAGACACACACACAGAGACACACAGTGACACAGAGACACACACAGAGACACACACAGAGACACACAGTGACACAGAGACACACACAGAGACACACACAGAGACACACAGTGACACAAAGACACACAGAGACACACACAGAGACACACACAGACACACACACAGAGACACACACAGAGACACACAGTGACACAGACACACACAGTGACACACACAGAGACACACACAGTGACACAAAGACACACAGAGACACACACAGAGACACACACAGACACACACACAGAGACACACACACAGAGACACACAGTGACACAAAGACACACACAGAGACACACACACAGAGACACACACAGAGACACACACACAGAGACACACACAGAGACACACACACAGAGACACACAGTGACACACACAGAGACACACACAGAGACACACACAGAGACACACAGTGACACAAAGACACACAGAGACACACACAGAGACACACACAGACACACACACAGAGACACACACAGAGACACACAGTGACACAGACACACACAGTGACTCACACAGAGACACACACACAGTGACACAAAGACACACAGAGACACACACAGAGACACACACAGACACACACAGACACACACACACACACAGAGACACACACAGAGACACACAGTGACACAAAGACACACACAGAGACACACACACAGAGACACACACAGAGACACACACACAGAGACACACACAGAGACACACACACAGAGACACACAGTGACACACACAGAGACACACACAGAGACACACACAGAGACACACAGTGACACAAAGACACACAGAGACACACACAGAGACACACACAGACACACACACAGAGACACACACAGAGACACACAGTGACACAGACACACACAGTGACACACACAGAGACACACACACAGTGACACAAAGACACACAGAGACACACAGAGTTAGATACAGTAAGAGACAGTGGTGAGTAGTGGTGAGTAGTGGTGAGTAGTAGTGGTGAGTAGTAGTGGTGAGTAGTGGTGAGTAGTAGTGGTGAGTAGTGGTGAGTAGTAGTAGTGGTGAGTAGTGGTGAGTAGTGGTGAGTAGTAGTGGTGAGTAGTGGTGAGTAGTAGTAGTAGTGAGTAGTGGTGAGTAGTGGTGAGTAGTGGTAGTGGTGAGTAGTAGTGGTGAGTAGTAGTGGTGAGTAGTGGTGAGTAGTAGTAGTAGTGAGTAGTGGTGAGTAGTGGTGAGGAGTAGTGGTGAGTAGTAGTGGTGAGTAGTAGTGGTGAGTAGTGGTGAGTAGTGGTGAGTAGTAGTAGTAGTGAGTAGTGGTGAGTAGTGTGAGTAGTAGTGGTGAGTAGTAGTGGTGAGTAGTGGTGAGTAGTAGTGGTGAGTAGTGGTGAGTAGTAGTGGTGAGTAGTGGTGAGTAGTGGTGAGTAGTAGTGGTGAGTAGTGGTGAGTAGTAGTAGTAGTGAGTAGTGGTGAGTAGTGGTGAGTAGTGGTAGTGGTGAGTAGTGGTGAGTAGTGGTGAGTAGTGTGAGTAGTAGTGGTGAGTAGTGGTGAGTGGTGGTGAGTAGTGGTGAGTAGTAGTGGTGAGGAGTAGTGGTGAGTAGTAGTGGTGGTGAGTAGTGGTGAGTGGTGGTGGTGAGTAGTGGTGAGTAGTGGTGAGTAGTGGTGAGTAGTAGTGGTGAGTAGTAGTGGTGAGTAGTAGTGGTGAGTAGTAGTGGTGAGTAGTGGTGAGTAGTGGTGAGTAGTGGTGAGTAGTAGTAGTAGTGGTGAGTAGTGGTGAGTAGTGGTGAGTAGTAGTGGTGAGTAGTAGTGGTGAGTAGTGGTGAGTAGTGGTGAGTAGTAGTGGTGAGTAGTAGTGGTGGTGAGTAGTGGTGAGTAGTAGTGGTGAGTAGTGGTGAGTAGTGGTGAGTGGTGGTGAGTAGTGGTGAGTAGTAGTAGTGGTGAGTAGTGGTGAGTAGTGGTGAGTAGTAGTGGTGAGTAGTAGTGGTGAGTAGTGGTGAGTAGTAGTGGTGAGTAGTAGTGGTGAGTAGTGGTGGTGAGTAGTGGTGAGTAGTGGTGAGTGGTGGTGAGTAGTAGTGGTGAGTAGTGGTGAGTAGTAGTGGTGAGTAGTGGTGAGTAGTGGTGGTGAGTAGTAGTGGTGAGTAGTGGTGGTGAGTAGTGGTGAGTAGTGGTGAGTAGTGGTGAGAAGTAGTGGTGAGTAGTGGTGGTGAGTAGTGGTGAGTAGTGGTGAGTAGTAGTGGTGAGCAGTAGTGGTGAGTAGTGGTGAGTAGTGGTGAGTAGTAGTGGTGAGTAGTAGTGGTGAGTGGTGATGGTGAGTAGTAGTGGTGAGTAGTGGTGAGTAGTGGTGGTGAGTAGTAGTAGTGGTGAGTAGTGGTGGTGAGTAGTAGTAGTGGTGAGTAGTAGTGGTGGTGAGTAGTAGTGGTGGTGAGTAGTGGTGAGTGGTGGTGAGTAGTAGTAGTGGTGAGTAGTAGTGGTGAGTAGTCGTGAGTAGTAGTGGTGAGTAGTGGTGAGTGGTGGTGAGTAGTAGTGGTGAGTGGTAGTGGTGAGTGGTGGTGAGTAGTGGTGAGTAGTGGTGGTGAGTAGTAGTAGTGGTGAGTAGTGGTGAGTAGTAGTGGTGAGTGGTGGTGAGTAGTGGTGGTGAGTAGTGGTGAGTGGTGGTGAGTAGTGGTGAGTGGTGGTGAGTGGTGATGGTGAGTGGTGGTGAGTAGTGGTGGTGAGTAGTGGTGAGTGGTGGTGAGTAGTGGTGAGTGGTGGTGAGTGGTGATGGTGAGTGCTGGTGAGTAGTGGTGAGTAGTGGTGAGTGATGGTGAGTAGTGGTGAGTGGTGGTGGTGAGTGATGGTGAGTAGTGGTGAGTAGTGGTGAGTAGTAGTGGTGAGTGATGGTGAGTAGTAGTGGTGAGTAGTGGTGAGTGGTGGTGAGTAGTGGTGAGTAGTAGTGGTGAGTAGTAGTGGTGGTGAGTAGTGGTGGTGAGTAGTAGTGGTGAGTGGTGATGGTGAGTAGTAGTGGTGAGTAGTGGTGAGTAGTGGTGAGTAGTAGTGGTGGTGAGTAGTGGTGAGTAGTGGTGGTGAGTAGTAGTAGTGGTGAGTAGTGGTGGTGAGTAGTAGTAGTGGTGAGTAGTAGTGGTGGTGAGTAGTAGTGGTGGTGAGTAGTGGTGAGTGGTGGTGAGTAGTAGTAGTGGTGAGTAGTAGTGGTGAGTAGTCGTGAGTAGTAGTGGTGAGTAGTGGTGAGTGGTGGTGAGTAGTAGTGGTGAGTGGTAGTGGTGAGTGGTGGTGAGTAGTGGTGAGTAGTGGTGGTGAGTAGTAGTAGTGGTGAGTAGTGGTGAGTAGTAGTGGTGAGTGGTGGTGAGTAGTGGTGGTGAGTAGTGGTGAGTGGTGGTGAGTAGTGGTGAGTGGTGGTGAGTGGTGATGGTGAGTGGTGGTGAGTAGTGGTGGTGAGTAGTGGTGAGTGGTGGTGAGTAGTGGTGAGTGGTGGTGAGTGGTGATGGTGAGTGCTGGTGAGTAGTGGTGAGTAGTGGTGAGTGATGGTGAGTAGTGGTGAGTGGTGGTGGTGAGTGATGGTGAGTAGTGGTGAGTAGTGGTGAGTAGTAGTGGTGAGTGATGGTGAGTAGTAGTGGTGAGTAGTGGTGAGTGGTGGTGAGTAGTGGTGAGTAGTAGTGGTGAGTAGTAGTGGTGGTGAGTAGTGGTGGTGAGTAGTGGTGAGTAGTGGTGAGTAGTAGTAGTGGTGAGTAGTGGTGAGTAGTAGTGGTGAGTAGTAGTGGTGAGTGGTGGTGGTGAGTGGTGGTGGTGAGTGGTGGTGAGTAGTGGTGGTGAGTGGTGGTGGTGAGTAGTAGTGGTGAGTGGTGAGTAGTGGTGAGTGGTGGTGGTGAGTAGTGGTGAGTAGTGGTGAGTAGTGGTGGTGAGTGGTGATGGTGAGTGGTGGTGGTGAGTGGTAGTGGTGAGTGGTGGTGGTGAGTGGCGGTGAGTGGTGGTGAGTAGTGGTGAGTAGTGGTGAGTGGTGGTGGTGAGTGGTGGTGAGTAGTAGTGGTGGTGAGTGGTGGTGGTGAGTAGTAGTGGTGAGTGGTGAGTAGTGGTGAGTGGTGGTGGTGAGTAGTGGTGAGTAGTGGTGAGTAGTGGTGGTGAGTGGTGATGGTGAGTGGTGGTGGTGAGTGGTAGTGGTGAGTGGTGGTGGTGAGTGGCGGTGAGTGGTGGTGAGTAGTGGTGGTGAGTGGTGATGGTGAGTGGTGGTGGTGAGTGGTAGTGGTGAGTGGTGGTGGTGAGTGGCGGTGAGTGGTGGTGAGTAGTGGTGAGTAGTGGTGAGTGGTGGTGGTGAGTGGTGGTGAGTAGTAGTGGTGGTGAGTGGTGGTGGTGAGTAGTGGTGAGTGGTCGTGAGTAGTAGTGGTGGTGGTGGTGAGTAGTGGTGAGTAGTAGTAGTGGTGAGTAGTGGTGAGTAGTAGTGGTGAGTAGTAGTGGTGAGTGGTGGTGGTGAGTAGTGGTGAGTAGTGATGAGTAGTGGTGGTGAGTAGTAGTGGTGAGTAGTGGTGGTGAGTAGTGGTGAGTAGTGGTGAGTAGTAGTGGTGAGTGGTGGTGAGTGGTGGTGGTGAGTGATGGTGAGTGGTGGTGAGTGGTGAGTAGTGGTGGTGAGTGGTGGTGGTGAGTGGTGGTGAGTAGTAGTGGTGGTGAGTGGTGGTGGTGAGTGGCGGTGTCCACGTACGACATTCGTTCAGGAGACATTTCTCCATCTCCGCCATGACGGGTGGGGCCCCCCCGGCCCCCCCCTCACCCCCCCGGGGGAAGCACGCGGGGGGGGCCCCGCCCCCTCCCCCCGAGGCCCCTCCCCCCGGGGCCCCCCCCCCTCAGGGCGCGTGCCCTGGAGCGGCCCCCCACCCCACAGCTGGCTGAGCAGGGAGACCACGTGGTCCACTCAGAGAGGGCGCAGCCTGGGGGCACCACTGGTGGTGGGGGGTAGTGGGGGGTAGTGGGGGGTGGTGGGGGGGGGTGGAGGGGGGTGGGGGGTAGTGGGGGGGGTGGAGGGGGGTGGGGGGTAGTGGGGGGATGGTGGGGGGGGGGTGGGGGGAAGGGGGGGAGAGACTCATCATCGCCTGTGTCATCAGCAGCAGATCTCCCCGTGTCTCTCCTTCACCGTGTCTCCCTCCCCGTGTCTCTCTCTCCCCGTGTCTCTCTCCCCGTGTCTCTCTCCCCGTGTCTCCCTCCCCGTGTCTCTCTCCCCGTGTCTCTCCCCCCGTCTCTCTCTCCCCGTGTCTCTCTCCCCGTGTCTCTCTCCCCGTGTCTCCCTCCCCGTGTCTCTCTCCCCGTGTCTCTCTCCCCGTCTCTCCCTCCCCGTGTCTCTCTCCCCGCGTCTCTCTCTCCCCGTGTGTCTCTCTCCCCGTGTCTCTCTCCCCGTGTCTCTCTCCACGTGTCTCCCTCCCCGTGTCTCTCTCCCTGTGTCTCTCTCCCTGTGTCTCTCTCTCCCCGTGTCTCTCTCCCCGTGTCTCTCTCTCACCGTGTCTCTCTCCCCGTGTCTCTCTCCCCGTGTCTCTCTCCCCGTGTCTCTCTCTCACCGTGTCTCTCTCCCCGTGTCTCTCTCCCCGTGTCTCTCTCCCCGTGTCTCTCTCCCCGTGTCTCTCTCCCCGTGTCTCTCTCCCCGTGTCTCCCTCCCCGTGTCTCTCTCCCTGTGTCTCTCTCCCTGTGTCTCTCTCTCCCCGTGTCTCTCTCCCCGTGTCTCTCTCTCACCGTGTCTCTCTCCCCGTGTCTCTCTCCCCGTGTCTCTCTCCCCGTGTCTCTCTCTCACCGTGTCTCTCTCCCCGTGTCTCTCTCCCCGTGTCTCTCTCCCCGTGTCTCTCTCCCCGTGTCTCTCTCCCCGTGTCTCTCTCCCCGTGTCTCCCTCCCCGTGTCTCTCTCCCTGTGTCTCTCTCCCTGTGTCTCTCTCTCCCCGTGTCTCTCTCCCCGTGTCTCTCTCTCACCGTGTCTCTCTCCCCGTGTCTCTCTCCCCGTGTCTCTCTCCCCGTGTCTCCCTCCCCGTGTCTCTCTCTCACCGTGTCTCTCTCCCCGTGTCTCTCTCCCCGTGTCTCTCTCCCCGTGTCTCTCTCACCGTGTCTCTCTCCCCGTGTCTCTCTCCCCGTGTCTCTCTCCCCGTGTCTCTCTCCCCGTGTCTCTCTCCCCGTGTCTCTCTCCCTGTGTCTCTCTCCCTGTGTCTCTCTCTCCCCGTGTCTCTCTCCCCGTGTCTCTCTCTCCCCGTGTCTCTCTCCCCGTGTCTCTCTCCCCGTGTCTCTCTCCCCGTGTCTCCCTCCCCGTGTCTCTCTCTCACCGTGTCTCTCTCCCCGTGTCTCTCTCCCCGTGTCTCCCTCCCCGTGTCTCTCTCCTTGTGTCTCTCTCCCTGTGTCTCTCTCTCCCCGTGTCTCTCTCCCCGTGTCTCTCTCACCGTGTCTCTCTCCCCGTGTCTCTCTCCCCGTGTCTCTCTCCCCGTGTCTCTCTCCCCGTGTCTCTCTCTCACAGTGTCTCTCTCCCCGTGTCTCTCTCTCACCGTGTCTCTCTCCCCGTGTCTCTCTCCCCGTGTCTCTCTCCCCGTGTCTCTCTCCCCGTGTCTCTCTCTCACCGTGTCTCTCTCCCCGTGTCTCTCTCTCACCGTGTCTCTCTCCCCGTGTCTCTCTCCCCGTGTCTCCCTCCCCGTGTCTCTCTCCCTGTGTCTCTCTCTCCCCGTGTCTCTCTCCCCGTGTCTCTCTCTCACCGTGTCTCTCTCCCCGTGTCTCTCTCCCCGTGTCTCTCTCCCCGTGTCTCTCTCCCCGTGTCTCTCTCTCACCGTGTCTCTCTCCCCGTGTCTCTCTCTCACCGTGTCTCTCTCCCCGTGTCTCTCTCACCGTGTCTCTCTCCCCGTGTCTCTCTCCCCGTGTCTCTCTCCCCGTGTCTCCCTCCCCGTGTCTCTCTCTCACCGTGTCTCTCTCCCCGTGTCTCTCTCCCCGTGTCTCTCTCCCCGTGTCTCTCTCCCCGTGTCTCTCTCCCCGTGTCTCTCTCCCCGTGTCTCTCTCCCCGTGTCTCCCTCCCCGTGTCTCTCTCCCCGTGTCTCTCTCTCCCCGTGTCTCTCTCTCCGTGTCTCTCTCCCCGTGTCTCTCTCACCGTGTCTCTCTCCCCGTGTCTCTCTCCCCGTGTCTCTCTCCCTGTGTCTCTCTCCCCGTGTCTCTCTCTCCCCGTGTCTCTCTCCCCGTGTCTCTCTCCCCGTGTCTCTCTCTCCCCGTGTCTCTCTCCCCGTGTCTCTCTCCCCGTGTCTCTCTCCCCGTGTCTCTCTCCCCGTGTCTCTCTCCCCGTGTCTCTCTCCCCGTGTCTCTCACCGTGTCTCTCTCTCCCCGTGTCTCTCTCTCCGTGTCTCTCTCCCCGTGTCTCTCTCCCCGTGTCTCTCTCCCCGTGTCTCTCTCCCCGTGTCTCTCTCCCTATGTCTCTCTCCCCGTGTCTCTCTCTCCCCGTGTCTCTCTCCCCGTGTCTCTCTCCCCGTGTCTCTCTCTCCCCGTGTCTCTCTCCCCGTGTCTCTCTCCCCGTGTCTCTCTCCCCGTGTGTCTCTCCCCGTGTCTCTCCCCGTGTCTCTCTCCCCGTGTCTCTCTCCCCGTGTCTCTCTCCCCGTGTCTCTCTCCCCGTGTCTCTCTCCCCGTGTCTCTCTCCCCGTGTCTCTCTCCCCGTGTCTCTCTCCCCGTGTCTCTCTCACCGTGTCTCTCTCCCCGTGTCTCTCTCCCCGTGTCTCTCTCCCCGTGTCTCTCTCTCCCCGTGTCTCTCTCTCCCCGTGTCTCTCTCTCCCCGTGTCTCTCTCTCCCCGTGTCTCTCTCCCCGTGTCTCTCTCCCCGTGTCTCTCTCTCCCCGTGTCTCTCTCTCCCCGTGTCTCCCTCCCCGTGTCTCTCTCCCCGTGTCTCTCTCCCCGTGTCTCTCTCCCCGTGTCTCTCTCCCCGTGTCTCTCTCCCCGTGTCTCTCTCCCCGTGTCTCCCTCCCCGTGTCTCTCTCCCCGTGTCTCTCTCCCCGTGTCTCTCTCTCCGTGTCTCTCTCCCCGTGTCTCTCTCCCCGTGTCTCTCTCCCCGTGTCTCTCTCCCCGTGTCTCTCTCTCCCCGTGTCTCTCTCTCCCCGTGTCTCTCTCCCCGTGTCTCTCTCCCCGTGTCTCTCTCCCCGTGTCTCTCTCTCCCCGTGTCTCTCTCTCCCTGTGTCTCTCTCCCCGTGTCTCTCTCCCCGTGTCTCTCTCTCCCCGTGTCTCTCTCTCCGTGTCTCTCTCCCCGTGTCTCTCTCACCGTGTCTCTCTCCCCGTGTCTCTCTCCCCGTGTCTCTCTCCCCGTGTCTCTCTCTCCCCGTGTCTCTCTCTCCCCGTGTCTCTCTCTCCCCGTGTCTCTCTCCCCGTGTCTCTCTCCCCGTGTCTCTCTCTCCGTGTCTCTCTCTCCCCGTGTCTCTCTCTCCCCGTGTCTCCCTCCCCGTGTCTCTCTCCCCGTGTCTCTCTCCCCGTGTCTCTCTCCCCGTGTCTCCCTCCCCGTGTCTCTCTCCCCGTGTCTCTCTCTCCCCGTGTCTCTCTCTCCCCGTGTCTCCCTCCCCGTGTCTCTCTCACCGTGTCTCTCTCTCTCCTCGTGTCTCTCTCCCCGTGTCTCTCTCTCCCCGTGTCTCTCTCCCCGTGTCTCTCTCCCCGTGTCTCTCTCCCCGTGTCTCTCTCCCCGTGTCTCTCTCCCCGTGTCTCTCTCTCCCCGTGTCTCTCTCTCCCCGTGTCTCTCTCTCCCCGTGTCTCTCTCTCCCCGTGTCTCTCTCCCCGTGTCTCTCTCCCCGTGTCTCTCTCCCCGTGTCTCTCTCCCCGTGTCTCTCTCTCCCCGTGTCTCTCTCTCCCCGTGTCTCCCTCCCCGTGTCTCTCTCCCCGTGTCTCTCTCTCCCCGTGTCTCTCTCCCCGTGTCTCTCTCCCCGTGTCTCTCTCCCCGTGTCTCTCTCCCCGTGTCTCTCTCTCCCCGTGTCTCTCTCCCCGTGTCTCTCTCCCCGTGTCTCTCTCCCCGTGTCTCTCTCCCCGTGTCTCTCTCTCCCCGTGTCTCTCTCTCCCCGTGTCTCCCTCCCCGTGTCTCCCTCCCCGTGTCTCTCTCCCCGTGTCTCTCTCCCCGTGTCTCCCTCCCCGTGTCTCTCTCCCCGTGTCTCTCTCTCCCCGTGTCTCTCTCTCCCCGTGTCTCCCTCCCCGTGTCTCTCTCACCGTGTCTCTCTCTCTCCTCGTGTCTCTCTCCCCGTGTCTCTCTCTCACCGTGTCTCTCTCACCGTGTCTCCCTCCCCGTGTCTCTCTCCCTCCCCGTGTCTCTCTCTCCGTGGCTCTCTCCCCGTGTCTCTCTCCCCGTGTCTCCCTCCCCGTGTCTCTCTCCTTCCCCGCGTCTCTCTCCTTCCCCGTGTCTCTCTCCCCGTGTCTCTCTCCCCGTGTCTCCCTCCCCGTGTCTCTCTCCTTCCCCGTGTCTCTCTCCTTCCCCGTGTCTCTCTCCCCGTGTCTCTCTCCCCGTGTCTCTCTCCCCGTGTCTCCCTCCCCGTGTCTCTCTCCCCGTGTCTCCCTCCCCGTGTCTCTCTCCCCGTGTCTCCCTCCCCGTGTCTCTCTCCCCGTGTCTCTCTCTCACCGTGTCTCTCTCCCCGTGTCTCCCTCCCCGTGTCTCCCTCCCCGTGTCTCTCTCCCCGTGTCTCCCTCCCCGTGTCTCCATCCCCGTGTCTCTCTCCCCGTGTCTCCCTCCCCGTGTCTCTCTCCCCGTGTCTCCCTCCCCGTGTCTCCATCCCCGTGTCTCTCTCCCCCTGTCTCCCTCCCCGTGTCTCTCTCCCCGTGTCTCTCTCCCCGTGTCTTTCTCCCCGTGTCTCTCTCCCCGTGTCTCTCTCCCCGTGTCTCCCTCCCCGTGTCTCCCTCCCCGTGTCTCTCTCCCCGTGTCTCCCTCCCCGTGTCTCCATCCCCGTGTCTCTCTCCCCGTGTCTCCCTCCCCGTGTCTCTCTCCCCGTGTCTCCCTCCCCGTGTCTCCATCCCCGTGTCTCTCTCCCCGTGTCTCCCTCCCCGTGTCTCCCCGTGTCTCTCTCCCCGTGTCTCTCTCCCCTTGTCTCTCTCCCCGTGTCTCCCTCCCCGTGTCTCTGTGTCTCTCTCCCCGTGTCTCCCTCCCCGTGTCTCTCTCCCCGTGTCTCTCTCCCCGTGTCTCCCTCCCTGTGTCTCTCTCCCCGTGTCTCCCTCCCCGTGTCTCTCTCCCCGTGTCTCTCTCCCCGTGTCTCCCTCCCTGTGTCTCTCTCCCCGTGTCTCTCTCCCCGTGTCTCTCTCCCCGTGTCTCTCTCCCCGTGTCTCCGTGTCTCCCTCCCCGTGTCTCCCTCCCCGTGTCTCCGTGTCTCTCTCCCCGTGTCTCCCTCCCCGTGTCTCCCTCCCCGTGTCTCTGTGTCTCTCTCCCCGTGTCTCCCTCCCCGTGTCTCTCTCCCCGTGTCTCTCTCCCCGTGTCTCCCTCCCCGTGTCTCCCTCCCCGTGTCTCTCTCCCCGTGTCTCTCTCCCCGTGTCTCTCTCCCCGTGTCTCTCTCCCCGTGTCTCTCTCCCCGTGTCTCCCTCCCCGTGTCTCTCTCCCCGTGTCTCTCTCCCCGTGTCTCTCTCCCCGTGTCTCTCTCCCCGTGTCCCCGTGTCTCCGTGTCTCTCTCCCCGTGTCTCCCTCCCCGTGTCTCCGTGTCTCTCTCCCCGTGTCTCTGTGTCTCCCTCCCCGTGTGTCTCTCCCCGTGTCTCCCTCCCCGTGTGTCTCACGGCAGTCTTCATTCACGATGCACGCCTCCCTCTCCACGCTGTCTCCGGGACACTCCGAGTCTCCAACAGCCCCCCCTTGCTGCTGCTGCTGCTGATGATTGTTGCTGTTGTTGGGGTCTCCCTGCTGATTGTTGTTGTTGTTGTTGTGGTTGTTGTTGTTGTTGTTCCCGATGAGGGTCCGGGAGCGCGAGCGGGTTCCGGCGGAGCAGGAGACGGAGCACTGAGTCCATCGGCTCCACTCGGAGTAGCGGCACTCCGGGTGGGGGTCTTCGACGGTGAGTGGGGGCACGAGACCACAACAACAACAAGACAACAACAACAACAGGAACAGATCAGTAATCCCCCTCCTCCCCGCGTGTCGCGTTGTTCTGAGCGTCGCTCCTCCGCCCTCCGTTGTTGTTGGAGGGCGACTGCCTCCAACTGCCCAGTAGCATCCTTCACGAGCCTCCTCCACAGAGGCCGATCTTGACACCGCTGGTACCAGTCATCGGCAAGTCCACTCAGCTCCACGTCCTCCTGTACCACATCACTCCATCTCTTCTCTAGCCCGTGCCGCGCCCGCTTTGCCCCCTCGATCCGGCCAAACAAAAGCTGTTTCGGCATGCGGTGGCTGGGCATGCGGGCTACATGACCCAGCCATCGCAGCCTTGCCTGCCGGAGGAGCTCACCGATGGGACCCTGCCCAGATCTTTCAAGGATTTGTGAGCTCCTCACACAATCCAGTCTGGTTAAACCCAGGATGGATCGTAGGCAGGCCAGCCTAAATGTTTCTAACCGGCGAAGATGTTCCATTAGGGGGGTCCACGTTTCGCAAGCGTAGAGAAGGGAGGGAATGACCGTGGCCAAGAAGACCTGAAGCTTAGTGCGGAGCGACAGACCAGGTAGCTTCCACACAGCGTTACGCAACCGATGAAAAGATATTGCCGCTCGACTGATTCGGAGTGAGACCTCTGCTGTTAAACTGGAGCCAGTCATAAGCACACTGCCCAGGTATGGGAAACTCTCTACTCTCTCCACAACTGCTCCATCACCGATTGGGAGTTGTGGGGGTGGAGTGTCCGATGGTACAAAATACCCAGGCAGTGCTTAGTTTTGGTGGGGCTGATGGTAAGACCCCATCTCTTAGTGGCACGCTCCAGTCTCAGCAGCAGCAGCGTCTCCAACTACTCCTCTGAATGAGCAGCTATTACCAAATCATCGGCATACATAACGTGGTTGAGCAATAGGGAGCCATCCCTTGACCGCACCCGGGCATCGATCAGCCTCCCATTGTATCTGTACCATATGGAAATTCCTCCGGTACAGCCATCGAAGGTTTCATCAACTGCGTGGTCGAAATAGATGTTAAATAATGTGGGAGATCCCTGTTGCACCCCAAGGTGTACAGGGAATGGCTCCGACTCCCAGCCACGTAGTTTTACCCGGGCCCGCTCACCATCATGAAGGTCCTTAATAATCGTGAGCAGGGGGTCAGGAACTCCAAAAGCACGAAGAACAACCCAGAGCCCAGGCCTTCTGATGGTATCATAGGCCTTGACCAGGTCAATAAAGCAGAGATGTAGGTCTTGTTAGAATTCCCTACACCTCTGCTGGAACAGACGGACAGAAAATATGGCATTTGTGCAGGACCGCCCTTTCCTGAAACCGCATTGGGGCTCCGCAAGCCTCTCCTCAGCGTGCCTGGCAAGGCGATGTTGAATAATCGTTGCCAGGACCTTTCCCGGCACACTGAGGAGTGAGATGCCCCTGTAGTTGTTACAGTCTGTGCGGTCCCCCTTCTTAAAGAGGGGGACCACCAGGGCATCCTTCCAATCCTGCGGAACCCGTCCAGTGGTCCACTCTGTTGTTATGATGTCATATAGGGCAGTCTGTGCACAAACGCCACCCTCCCTCAGCATTTCGCTTGGGAGATCATCTCTGCCCCCTGCCTTTCCTGGTCTCAGACTCTGGATCGCCTTCAGTACTTCCTCAAAAGATGGCACCTCATCAGTAACCACAACCACCACTCCTCACCTCCGGTTGATGGGAAGGCGAGCCCAAAGTAGCCTGGGGCTTACAGCTTCCCACACCTCACCGCCACACTCCCACGCCCCCTTCATTCTTTTGTTCAAAAGAAGAGCCACACCCTGTTGTTTGGCAGTCTGCTGCCCCGAGTAGAGGACTGTCCACCCCTCATGGTGGCAGGAGCCAGAGCCGGTCCACCGGACCTCCTGAATGCCACAGGGATCCAGGCGGTACCGGTCCAGCTCCCGACAGAGGAGTGGCAGCCTCTCCTCCGCAGTGAGCGTTCGAACATTCCACGTGGCCATCCATAGTGGCTTTTCGTTGTTTCTGGAGGAGCCCCGAGGGTAGAGATTCAATCTCTTGGCTCCGCCAATTGGGGTTTGGCCAGGAGACGTCATAGACGCCTGGCCCCCCGGGGCCTCTGGCACAAGTTTAGTTAAATATCCAGAGCCCCCCCATTTGTGGTAGTTACAGATGCCATGAGGGGATTGGCCAATCTGAGTTGGCCCTCCCCAGGGCACTGCTCACCACAGCGTTGCCGTCCGGCACCAATGAGGAGGTAGGGGGTTGTTTTAATCTCTCACTCACTCACCCACTCACTCACTCACCCACTCACTCACTCACTCACCCACTCACCCACTCACTCACTCACCCACTCACTCACCCACTCACTCACCCACTCACCCAACCACCCACCCACCCACCCACCCACTCACCCACTCACCCAACTACCCACCCACCCACCCACTCACTCACTCACCCACTCACCCACCCACTCACTCACTCATCCACCCACTCACTCACTCACCCACTCACCCACCCACTCACTCACTCACCCACTCACTCACTCACCCACTCACTCACCCACTCACCCACTCACCCACTCACTCACTCACTCACCCACTCACCCACCCACCCACTCACTCACTCACTTACCCACTCACTCACTCACTCACTTACCCACTCACCCACCCACCCACTCACTCACCCACTCACCCACTCACCCACTCACTCACTCACTCACCCACTCACCCACCCACCCACTCACTCACTCACTTACCCACTCACTCACTCACTCACTTACCCACTCACCCACCCACCCACTCACTCACTCACCCACTCACCCACCCACCCACTCACTCACTCACTCACCCACCCACCCACCCACTCACTCACTCACTCACCCACTCACTCACTCGCTCACCCACCCACCCACCCACTCACCCACCCACCCACCCACTCACTCACCCACTCACTCACCCACCCACCCACCCACTCACTCACTCACCCACCCACTCAATCACCCACCCACCCATTCACTCACCCACTCACCCACTCACTCACCCACCCACTCACCTACTCACTCACTCACCCACCCACACACCCACTCACCCACTCACTCACCCACCCACTCACTCACTCACTCACCCACCTCCTCACCCACTCACACACTCACTCAATCAACTCACCCACTCACTCACTCACTCACCCACTCACTCACTCACCCACTCACTCACCCAACCACCCACCCACCCACCCACTCACCCACCCACCCACCCACTCACCCACTCACTCACCCACCCACTCACTCACCCACTCACCCACCCACTCACTCACCCAACCACCCACCCACCCACTCACCCACTCACTCACTCACTCACCCACTCACCCACCCACCCACTCACTCACTCACTCACCCACTCACCCACCCACCCACTCACTCACTCACTTACCCACCCACACACCCACTCACCCACTCACTCACCCACCCACTCACTCACTCACTAACCCACCTCCCCACCCACTCACTCACTCACTCACCCACACACCCACCCACCAACTCACTCACCCACCTCCCCACCCACCCACCCACCCACTCACTCACTCACCCACTCACCCACCCACCCACCCACTCACTCACCCAACCACCCACCCACCCACCCACTCACTCACCCACTCACCCACCCACTCACCCACTCACCCACTCACTCACTCACTCACCCACCCACCCACCCACCTCCCTACCCACTCACCCACTCACTCACCCAACCACCCACCCACCCACCCACTCACCCACCCACCCACTCACTCACCCACCCACCCACCCACTCACCCACCCACCCACCCACGACCTGTGGACACGTGTGCAGGCTGCAGGTTCGTGAGTCCTGTGTGGCTCCGCATGGCACTGAGAAGTCCAGCTGGGCCTTCAGCATCCGCTGCCTCAGCTGGCGCCCGGGGGGGCACGGCCACGCGGGAGACGCGGGGGGCGGTGGGGAGGAGGTGGAGGAGGAGGAGGTGGACGAGGAGGTGGACGAGGAGGTGGACGAGGAGGTGGACGAGGAGGTGGAGGAGGGTCCGCAGGAGGACCAAGGGGACCAGGCAGCGTAGATGCAGGTTTCTGGAGTGTCGTCGTCGGCTAGGGGGGGGGGGGGGAGGTGGAGGAGGTGGAGGAGGTGGAGATGGTGGAGGTGGTGGTGGAGGAGGTGGTGGTGGAGGTAGTGGTGGAGGTGGTGTAGGAGGAGGAGGAGGTGGAGGTGGAGGTGGTGGTAGGGTTTGAGGAGGTAAACCTTGACCCCCGAGTGACCCCCGAGTGACCCCCGAGTGACCCCGAGGGACCCCGAGTGACCCCCGAGTGACCCCCGAGTGACCCCGAGTGACCCCGAGTGACCCCCGAGTGACCCCCGAGTGACCCCGAGTGACCCCCGAGTGACCCCTGAGTGACCCCTGAGTGACCCCGAGTGACCCCCGGCCCTCACCTCCCCTCTGCTCGTCCACCTCGGTGCTCACCACCACGTCGTCCACGCTGTCCGCCTCCGTGTTGCACTGCGTGCCCTGGGGGGGGGGGCGGGGGTGGGGGGCATCACCAGCATCATCATCAGCATCATCATCATCACCAGCATCATCATCAACATCATCATCACCAGCATCATCACCAGCATCATCACCAGCATCATCAGCATCATCATCATCATCACCAGCATCATCACCAGCATCATCACCAGCATCATCACCAGCAACATCACCAGCATCATCAGCAGCATCATCATCACCAGCATCATCAGCAGCATCATCAGCATCATCATCATCACCAGCATCATCATCATCATCATCACCAGCATCATCACCAGCATCATCAGCATCATCATCATCACCAGCATCATCACCAGCATCATCACCAGCATCAGCAGCATCAGCAGCATCAGCATCAGTAGCAGCATCAGTAGCAGCAGCATCAGCAGCAGCATCAGCATCAGCAGCAGCATCATCATCATTATCATCAACAGCAGCATCATCACCAGCATCAGCAGCATCATCAGCAGCATCATCACCAGCATCAGCAGCATCATCATCAGCAGCATAATCAGCAGCATCACCAGCATCATCAGCAGCATCATCATCAGCAGCAGCATCATTGTCATCAGCACCAGCAGCATCATCAGCATCATCATCAGCATCATCACCAGCAGCATCAGTAGCAGCAGCAGCATCATTATCATCAGAATACGATTGGGTAAGGCAGGTGGGTGGGTAGGGTGGGTAGCTGAGTAGGTGGGTATGTTGTGAGTATGGTAGTGGTACGTGTGTGGGTACGTGTGGGTAGGTGTGGGTAGGTGTGTAGGTACGAGTTTGGGCACGTGTGTGTGTCTGTGTGTGTGCGTCTGTGTGTGTGTTTATGTGTGTGTCTGTGTGTGTCTATGTGTGTGTCTATGTGTGTGTGTCTGTATGTCTGTGTCTGTGTGTGTGTCTGTGTGTGTGTGTCTGTGTGTGTTTGTCTGTATGTCTGTGTCTGTGTGTGTCTGTGTGTGTGTCTCTGTGTGTGTATGTCTGTGTCTGTGTGTGTCTGTATGTCTGTGTCTGTGTATGTGTCTGTGTGTGTGTCTGTGTGTGTGTCTGTGTGTGCGTGTCTGTGTGTGTGTCTATGTGTGTGTCTGTGTGTGTGTCTGAGGGAGGGTGGCGTTTGTGCAGAGACTGCCCTATATAACATCATAACAACAGTCTGGACCACTGGACGGGTTCCGCAGGATTGGAAGGATGCCCTGGTGGTCCCCCTTTTTAAGAAGGGGGACCGCACAGACTGTAACAACTACAGGGGCATCTCACTCCTCAGTGTGCCGGGAAAGGTCCTGGCAAGGATTATTCAACATCGCCTTGCCAGGCACGCTGAGGAGAGGCTTGCGGAGCCCCAATGCGGTCTCAGGAAAGGGCGGTCCTGCACAGATGCCATATTTTCTGTCCGTCTGCTACAGCAGAGGTGTAGGGAATTCCAACAAGACCTAGATCTCTGCTCTATTGACCTGGTCAAGGCCTATGATACCATCAGTAGGCCTGGGCTCTGGGTTGTTCTTCGTGCTTTTGGAGTACCTGATCCTCTGCTCACGATCATTAAGGACCTTCATGATGGTGAGCGGGCCCGGGTAAAACTACGTGGCCGGGAGTCAGAGCCATTCCCTGTACACCTTGGGGTGCGACAGGGATGTCCTCTGGCTCCCACATTATTTAACATCTATTTTGACCACGTAGTTCGTGAAGCCTTCAATAGCTGTACCGGGGGAATCTCCATATGGTACAGATATAATGGGAGGCTGATCGATGCCTGGGTGCGGTCAAGGGATGGCTCCCTATTGCTCAACCATGTTATGTATGCTGATGATTTGGTAATAGCTGCTCAGTCAGAGGAGGAGTTGGAGACGCTGCTGCTGAGACTGGAGCGTGCCACTAAGAGGTGGGGCCATACCATCAGCCCCACCAAGACTAAGCACCTGCCTGGGTATTTTGTACCATCGGACACTCCACCCCCACAACTCCCAATCGGTGATGGGGCAGTTGTGGAGAGAGTGGAGAGTTTCCCATACCTGGGCAGTGTGCTTATGACTGGCTCCAGTTTAACAGCAGAGGTCTCACTCCGAATCAGTCGAGCGGCAATATCTTTTCATCGGTTGCGTGACGCTGTGTGGAAGCTACCTGGTCTGTCGCTCCGCACTAAGCTTCAGGTCTTCTCGGCCACGGTCATTCCCTCCCTTCTCTACGCTTGCGAAACGTGGACCCCCCTAATGGAACATCTTCGCCGGTTAGAAACATTTAGGCTGGCCTGCCTACGATCCATCCTGGGTTTAACCAGACTGGATTGTGTGAGGAGCTCACAAATCCTTGAAAGATCTGGGCAGGGTCCCATCGGTGAGTTCCTCCGGCAGGCAAGGCTGCGATGGCTGGGTCATGTAGCCCGCATGCCCAGCCACCGCATGCCGAAACAGCTTTTGTTTGGCCGGATTGAGGGGGCTAAGCGGGCGCGGCACGGGCTAGAGAAGAGATGGAGTGATGTGGTACAGGAGGACGTGGAGCTGAGTGGACTTGCCGATGACTGGTACCAGCGGTGTCAAGATCGGCCTCTGTGGAGGAGGCTCGTGAAGGATGCTACTGGGCAGTTGGAGGCAGTCGCCCTCCAACAACAACGGAGGGCGGAGGAGCGACGCTCACAACAACGAGCGGAGCGCCGGGTGGCTAAAGCACAGCAGGTTGGCACAGTAGGGGGCACAGGTGGTGCATCAGCCAGTCATCTCAGTCAGTCGACCCGTGGCACCTGGGTCTGCCCAGTGACCTCCTGCCAGCGGGCGTTCGACACTTCACGTGGCCTCACGGTGCACATAGCCTGGCACAAGCGTCGTGGTGACGTCACCGCTACTTAGTGGCGAATGGCGGTTGTTGTACACTGTGTGTGTGTAGGTGTGTGTGTACACTGTGTATGTAGGTGTGTATGTGTGTGTGTAGGTGTGTGTGTGTACACTGTGTGTGTAGGTGTGTGTGTAAGTGTGTGTGTGTGTACACTGTGTGTAGGTGCGTGTGTACACTGTGTGTGTGTGTGTAGGTGTGTACACTGTGTGTGTGTGTGTGTACACTGTGTGTGTACACTGTGTGTGTGTGTGTAGGTGTGTACACTGTGTGTGTGTGTGTACACTGTGTGTGTACACTGTGTGTGTGTGTACACTGTGTGTGTACACTGTGTGTGTGTACACTGTGTGTGTACACTGTGTGTGTGTGTGTACCTTGCGAGCAAGTCTCTCGATGACGACTCTGGCGACGGGAGTGACGGGCCCCCCCTCGGGGTCGTAGAAGGGGCTCGAGAGCCCCTCCAGTGACCCTGTGTGTAGGTGTGTGTGTGTGTGTGTGTAGGTGTGTGTGTACACTGTGTGTGTGTGTACACTGTGTGTGTGTACACTGTGTGTGTAGTTGTGTATGTGTGTGTAGGTGTGTATGTACACTGTGTGTGTGTGTAGGTGTGTGTAGGTGTGTGTGTGTAGGTGTGTGTGTACACTGTGTGTGTACACTGTGTGTGTGTACACTGTGTGTGTAGTTGTGTATGTGTGTGTAGGTGTGTATGTACACTGTGTGTGTGTGTAGGTGTGTGTAGGTGTGTGTGTGTACACTGTGTGTGTGTGTGTGTAGGTGTGTACACTGTGTGTGTGTGTGTAGGTGTGTACACTGTGTGTGTGTGTGTACCTTGCGAGCAAGCCTCTCGATGACGACTCTGGCGACGGGAGTGACGGGCCCCCCCTCGGGGTCGTAGAAGGGGCTCGAGAGCCCCTCCAGTGACGTCAGAGGTCGGATCGGCTCGGGGGGGAACGTGGGGGAGTTGGGGGACTGGGGGGGCATTGAAGATTTACTCACACTTACACTTGCACAATTACACACTTACACACTCACTTACACACACTCACACACTCACTCAGCCACTCACTCACTTACACACTCATACACACTTACTCACACTTAAACACTCACTTACACACTCATACACTCACTCACTCATACACTCACTTACACACTTACTCACACTTACTCACACTTACACACTTACACACTCACTCACTTACACACTTACTCACTCATACACTCACTTACACACTCATACACTCACTCATACACTCACTTACACACTTACTCACACTTACAAACTCACTCACTTACTCACTTACACACACTCACACACTCACTCAGTCACTCACTCACTTACACACTTACACACTCACACTTACTCACTCATACACTCACTCACTCATACATACACTTACACACTTACTCACACTTACTCACACTTACACACTTACTCACACTTACTCACTTACTCACACTTACACACTCACTTACACACTCATACACTCACTTACACACTCACACTCACGTACACACTCACACTTACACACTCACTCACTTACACACTTACACACACTTACTTACTCACTTACACACACTCACACACTCACTCAGTCGCTCACTCACTTACAGACTCATACACACACTCACAAATACACTCATACACTCACTTACACACACACACACTCACGTACACACTCACACTTACACTCACTCAATTACACACTCACACTTACTCACACTCACTTACACTCTCACTCACTTACACACTCACACACATACACTCACTTACACACTCACTCACACACTCACTTACACACTTACACACTCATACACTCACACTCACTCACACACTCTCACTCACACTTACTCACACACTCACACTTACTCACTCACTCACACTTACACTCACTCACACTCACTTACACACTCACTCACCCACCCACTCACCCACTCACTCACCCACTCACTCACCCACCCACCCACTCACCCACCCACTCACTCACTCACCCACTCACTCACCCACCCACCCACTCACTCACTCACCCACCCACCCACTGACTCACCCACCCACTCACTCACTCACCCACCCACCCACCCACCTGGTAGGTAACTCCGCTGTCTGTGCCTGCATCCCAGGGGATGAGGTCGTGACTGGTTCGCTGTACCCAGCCACTCACTCACTCACTCATTCACTCACTCACTCACACACTCACTCATTCAGTCACTCATACACCCACTCACTCACACACTCACTCACTCAGTCACTCACACACCCACCCACTCACCCACCCACCCACTCACTCACCCACTCACTCACTCACACACTCACCCACTCACTCACTTACACACCCACTCACTCACTCACCCACCCACTCACCCACCCACCCACTCACCCACTCACTCACTCACTCACCCACCCACTCACTCACTCATCCACCCACTCACTCACCCACCCATCCACTCACTCACTCACACACCCACCCACTCACTCACTCACCCACCCACTCAACCACCCACCCACTCACCCACCCACTCACTCACCCACCCACCCACTCACCCACCCACCCACCCACTCACCCACCCACCCACCCACTCACTCACCCACTCACCCACCCACTCACTCACCCACCCACCCACTCACTCACCCACCCACCCACTCACTCACCCACCCACCCACTCACTCACTCACACACCCACCCACTCACCCACCCACCCACCCACTCACTCACCCACCCACCCACCCACTCACCCACCCACCCACCCACCTGGTAGGTAACTCCGCTGTCTGTGCCTGCATCCCAGGGGATGAGGTCGTGACTGGTTCGCTGTACCCAGCCACTCACTCACCTACTCACTCACTCAGTCACTCAGTCACTCATACACTCACTCACTCAGTCACTCATACACTCACTCACTCAGTCACTCACTCACTCACCCACTCACTCAGTCACTCATACACTCACTCACTCACCCACTCACTCACTCAGTCACTCATACACTCACTCACTCAGCCACTCACTCACTCACTCAGTCACTCATACACTCATACACTCACTCACTCACTCAATCACTCAGTCACTCATACACTCACACACTCACTCACTCACACACTCACTCACTCAGTCACTCAGTCACTCATACACTCACTCACTCACACACTCACTCACTCAGTCACTCATACACTCATACACTCACTCACTCACTCACCCACTCACTCACTCAGTCACTCATACACTCACTCACCCACCCACCCACCTGGTAGGTAACTCCGCTGTCTGTGCCTGCATCCCAGGGGATGAGGTCGTGACTGGTTCGCTGTACCCAGCCACTCACTCACCCACCCACTCATTCACTCACCCACCCACCCATCCACTCACCCACCCACCCACTCAACCACCCACTCACTCACCCACTCACTCACCCATTCACCCACTCACCCACTCACCCACTCACTCACCCACTCACTCACCCATTCACCCACTCACCCACTCACCCACTCACTCACCCACCCACCCATCCACTCACTCACTCACACACCCACTCACTCACTCACCCACCCACCCACCTGGTATGTCACTCCGCTGTCTGTGCCTGCATCCCAGGGGATGAGGTCGTGACTGGTTCGCTGTACCCAGCCACTCACTCACCTACTCACTCACTCACTCAGTCACTCAGTCACTCATACACTCACTCACCCACTCACTCAGTCACTCACACATTCACTCACTCACTCACACACTCACTCAGTCACTCGTACACTCACTCACTCACCCACCCACCCACTCACTCACTCACCCACTCACTCACTCATCCACCCACTCACTCACCCACCCACCCACTCACCCACCCACCCACCCACTCACCCACCCACCTGGTATGTCACTCCGCTGTCTGTGCCTGCATCCCAGGGGATGAGGTCGTGACTGGTTCGCTGTACCCAGCCACTCACTCACCTACTCACTCACTCAGTCACTCATACACTCGCTCACTCAGTCACTCATACACTCACTCACCCACTCAGTCACTCACTCACTCAGTCACTCATACACTCACTCACACACTCATTCACTCAGTCACTCATACACTCACTCACCCACTCACTCACTCACTCAGTCACTCACTCACTCAGTCACTCATACACTCACTCACCCACTCACTCACTCACTCAGTCACTCACTCACTCAGTCACTCATACACTCACTCACCCACTCACTCACTCACTCACCCACTCACACACCCACTCACCCACCCACCCACCCACCTGGTATGTCACTCCGCTGTCTGTGCCTGCATCCCAGGGGATGAGGTCGTGACTGGTTCGCTGTACCCAGCCACTCACTCACCCACCCACTCATTGACTCACCCACCCACCCATCCACTCACCCACCCACCCACTCAACCACCCACCCACTCACTCACCCACTCACTCACTTACACACCCACTCACTCACCCACCCACTCATTCACTCACCCACCCACCCATCCACTCACCCACCCACCCACTCAACCACCCACTCACTCACTCACCCACTCACTCACCCATTCACCCACTCACCCACTCACTCACCCACTCACTCACCCATTCACCTACTCACCCACTCACCCACTCACCCACCCACTCACCCACTCACCCACCACCCACTCACCCACCCACTCACCCACTCACCCACCCACCCACTCACTCTCCCACCCACCCACCCACCTGGTATGTCACTCCGCTGTCTGTGCCTGCATCCCAGGGGATGAGGTCGTGACTGGTTCGCTGTACCCAGCCACAACCTCTGGTACAGAGGTTCTCAGCCGAGAGGCCAACGGCCCAGTCGGGGCTGGGCCCCAGCATGGACAGGAAGCTCATCAAGTGGCGCGTGCGGTCCACCGAGAACTCGGCAGAGGGCGGAGCTCGCCTGGGCAGCGGGGGCAGCGGGGGCAGCGGGGGCAGCGGGGGCAGCGGGGGCAGCGGGGGCAGCGGGGGCGAGGTCACGAGAGGGGCATTGGGGCAGTCTCTGGACTGGGGAGCACGTGGTGGTGGGTGGGTGGTGGGTGGTGGGTGGTGGTGGTGGTGGTGGTGATGGGTGGTGGTGGTGGTGGTGGTGATGGTGGTGGTGGTGGTGTGGTGGTGGGTGGTGGGTGGTGGTGGTGGTGATGGTGGTGGTGGTGATGGTTCTGGTGATGTGGTAGGGGGGAGGTGAGGGTGGGTGAGTGAGTGGGTGAGTGGGTGGGTGGGTGGGTGAGTGGGTGAGTGAGTGAGTGGGTGGGTGAGTGGGTGAGTGAGTGAGTGGGTGAGTGGGTGAGTGAGTGGGTGAGTGAGTGGGTGAGTGAGTGAGTGAGTGGGTGGGTGAGTGAGTGGGTGAGTGAGTAAGTGAGTGGGTGAGTGAGTGAGTGAATGAGTGAGTGAGTGGGTGGGTGAGTGGGTGAGTGAGTGGGTGAGTGAGTGAGTGAGTGGGTGAGTGAGTGGGTGAGTGAGTAAGTGAGTGGGTGAGTGAGTGAGTGAATGAGTGAGTGGGTGGGTGGGTGAGTGGGTGAGTGAGTGGGTGAGTGAGTGAGTGGGTGAGTGAGTGAGTGAGTTGGTGAGTGAGTGAGTGGGTGAGTGAGTGAGTGAGTGGGTGAGTGGGTGGGTGGGTGGGTGAGTGGGTGAGTGAGTGAGTGGGTGTGTGAGTGGGTGGGTGGGTGAGTGAGTGGGTGAGTGAGTGGGTGAGTGAGTGAGTGGGTGAGTGAGTGAGTGGGTGGGTGAGTGGGTGAGTGAGTGAGTGAGTGGGTGAGTGGGTAGGTGGGTGGGTGAGTTAGTGAGCGAGTGGGTGAGTGGGTGAGTGAGTGAGTGAGTGGGTGAGTGGGTGGGTGGGTGAGTGGGTGAGTGAGTGAGTGGGTGTGTGAGTGAGTGAGTGGGTGAGTGAGTGAGTGGATGAGTGAGTGGGTGAGTGAGTGAGTGGGTGAGTGAGTGGGTGGGTGAGTGGGTGAGTGAGTGGGTGAGTGAGTGGGTGGGTGAGTGGGTGAGTGAGTGGGTGAGTGAGTGGGTGGGTGAGTGAGTGGGTGAGTGAGTAAGTGAGTGGGTGAGTGAGTGAGCGAGTGGGTGGGTGGGTGAGTGGGTGAGTGAGTGGGTGAGTGAGTGGGTGGGTGAGTGATTGGGTGAGTGAGTGGGTGAGTGAGTGAATGAGTGAGTGGGTGAGTGAGTGAGTGGGTGGATGGGTGGGTGGATGAGTGGGTGGAGGCACTAGTTGTGGTAGTGGTGATGATGCTGATGATGGTGCTGATGATGATGTTGCTGATGATGATGATGCTGATGATGATGTTGCTGCTGATGATGATGCTGACGATGATGATGTTGCTGATGATGATGCTGATGATGATGCTGATGATGTTGCTGATGATGATGATGCTGATGATGCTGCTGATGATGATCCTCACACACTGATTGGTTGCCATGCCGGCCATTGGGGCTTCATCTTGATGACTGTGAGCACCTCGTCACCCTGACCTCATCAACATCATCAGCGACATCATCATCAACATCATCAACATCATCAGCGACATCATCAACATCATCATCATCAACATCATCATCAACATCATCATCAACAACATCATCATCATCAACATCATCATCAACATCATCATCAACATCATCATCAACATCATCAACATCATCATCAACATCATCATCATCAACATCATCAACATCATCATCAACATCATCATCATCAACATCATCATCATCATCAACATCATCATCATCAACATCATCATCATCATCAACATCATCATCATCAACATCATCAACATCATCATCATCAACATCATCATCATCAACATCATCATCATCAACATCATTAACATCATCAACAACAACACCATCATCAACATCATCAACATCATCATCAACATCATCATCATCAACATCATCATCATCAACAACATCATCATCATCAACATCATCAACATCATCATCAACATCATCATCATCAAAATCATCAACATCATCATCATCATCAACAACATCATCAACATCATCATCAACATCATCAACATCATCATCATCAACATCATCATCAACATCATCATCATCAACATCATCATCATCAACATCATCAACATCACCATCATCAACAACAACATCATCAACATCATCATCATCAACATCATCATCATCAACATCATCATCATCAACATCATCATCATCAACATCATCATCATCAACATCATCAACATCATCATCATCAACATCATCATCATCAACATCATCATCATCAACATCATCAACATCATCATCATCAACATCATCATCATCATCAACATCATTAACATCATCAACATCATCAACATCATCATTAACATCATCATCATCAACATCATCAACATCATCATTAACATCATCATCATCATCAACATCATCAACATCATTAACATCATCAACAACATCATCATCATCAACAACATCAACATCATCATTAACATCATCATCATTAACATCATCATCATCAACATCATCATCATCAACAACATCAACATCATCATTAACATCATCACCCTCTCCCCCTCCCCCATCCCTCCCCCACCCCTCCCCCTCCCTCCCCCCGCCCCTCACCTGCCCCCTCCCCTCTCGCCCCGCCCCTCCCCCTCTCGCCCCGCCCCCTCCCCTCTCGCCCCGCCCCTCACCTGCCCCCTCATCTCGTCCTCGAGGGCCACTGGTGACCCCCACTCAGCCACCCTCCGCACCCCCTCGCTCGCCACGCCCCCTCCCCTCTCGCCCCGCCCCCTCCCCTCTCGCCCCGCCCCCTCCCCTCTCGCCCCGCCCCCTCCCCTCTCGCCCCGCCCTCACCTGCCCCCTCATCTCGTCCTCGAGGGCCACTGGCGACCCCCACTCAGCCACCCTCCGCACCCCCTCGCTCGCCCCGCCCCCTCCCCTCTCGCCCCGCCCCCTCTCGCCCCGCCCCCTCCCCTCTCGCCCCGCCCCCTCTCGCCCCGCCCCCTCCTCTCGCCCCGCCCTCACCTGCCCCCTCATCTCGTCCTCGAGGGCCACTGGTGACCCCCACTCAGCCACCCTCCGCACCCCCTCGCTCGCCAGGGCTCCGACCTCCCAGGGGATGAAGCCGCGGCTGTGGGAGGCGCCGATGACGGCCGACCAATGGGGGGAGAACTCTGGGGGGGCGGGGCACAGGGGGGCAGGGGGCGGGGCACGGAGGGGGTGGGGCACGGAGGGGCGGGACACGGGGGGGGGGAGACACGGGGGGAGGGAGACGAGGCGACTTTGTATCTAAATAACAGCCCGTGTCTCCCTGTGTCTCCCCGTGTCTCCCTGTGTCTCCCCGTGTCTCTCGGCGTGTCTACCCGTGTCTCCCCGTGTCTCTCCGTGTCTCCCTGTGTCTCCCCGTGTCTCCCTGTGTCTCCCCGTGTCTCCCCTGTGTCTCCCCGTGTCTTCCCGTGTCTCCCCTCTGTCTCCCCTGTGTCTCCCTGTGTCTCCCCGTGTCTCCCCTCTGTCTCCCCTGTGTCTCCCCGTGTCTCCCCTCTGTCTCCCCTGTGTCTCCCTGTGTCTCCCCGTGTCTCCCCTCTGTCTCCCCGGTGTCTCCCCGTGTCTCCCTGTGTCTCCCCGTGTCTCTCGGCGTGTCTACCCGTGTCACCCCGTGTCTCTCCGTGTCTCCCTGTGTCTCCCCGTGTCTCCCTGTGTCTCCCCGTGTCTCCCCTGTGTCTCCCCGTGTCTTCCCGTGTCTCCCCTCTGTCTCCCCTGTGTCTCCCTGTGTCTCCCCGTGTCTCCCCTCTGTCTCCCCTGTGTCTCCCCGTGTCTCCCCTCTGTCTCCCCTGTGTCTCCCTGTGTCTCCCCGTGTCTCCCCTCTGTCTCCCCTGTGTCTCCCCGTGTCTCCCCTCTGTCTCCCCTGTGTCTCCCCGTGTCTCCCTGTGTCTCCCTGTGTCTCCATGTCTCTCCTTGTGTCTCCCTGTGTCTCCCTGTGTCTCCATTTCTCCTTGTGTCTCCCTGTGTCTCCCTGTGTCTCCCCGTGTCTCCCTGTGTCTCCCCGTGTCTCCTTGTGTCTCCCTGTGTCTCCTTGTGTCTCCCCGTGTCTCCCCGTGTCTCCCCGTGTCTCCTTGTGTCTCCCCGTGTCTCCCTGTGTCTCCCCGTGTCTCCTTGTGTCTCCCCGTGTCTCCCCGTGTCTCCCGTCTGTCTCCCTGTGTCTCCCTGTGTCTCCCCGTGTCTCCCTGTGTCTCCCCGTGTCTCCTTGTGTCTCCCTGTGTCTCCTTGTGTCTCCCCGTGTCTCCCCGTGTCTCCCTGTGTCTCCCCGTGTCTCCCCGTGTCTCCTTGTGTCTCCCCGTGTCTCCCCGTGTCTCCCCGTGTCTCCCTGTGTCTCCCCGTGTCTCCTTGTGTCTCCCCGTGTCTCCCCGTGTCTCCCGTCTGTCTCCCTGTGTCTCCCTGTGTCTCCCCGTGTCTCCCCCGTGTCTCCCCCGTGTCTCCTTGTGTCTCCCCGTGTCTCCCCGTGTCTCCCCGTGTCTCCCCTGTGTCTCCCCGTGTCTCCCCGTGTCTCCCTGTGTCCCCCTGTGTCTCCCCGTGTCTCCCCGTGTCTCCCCTGTGTCTCCCCGTGTCTCCCCGTGTCTCCCCGTGTCTCCCCTGTGTCTCCCCGTGTCTCACCGTGTCTCCCCGTGTCTCCCCTCTGTCTCCTTGTGTCTCCCTGTGTCTCCACTCTGTCTCCTTGTGTCTCCCTGTGTCTCCACTCTGTCTCCTTGTGTCTCCCTGTGTCTCCACTCTGTCTCCCTGTGTCTCCCCTCTGTCTCCCCGTCTATCCCTTCTGTCTCCCTGTGTCTCCATGTCTCCCTGTGTCTCCCTGTGTCTCCCCGTGTCTCCCCGTGTCTCCCTGTGTCTCCGTGTCTCCACTCTGTCTCCCCGTGTCTCCCTGTGTCTCCCCGTGTCTCCCCGTGTCTCCCTGTGTCTCCCCTGTGTCTCCCTGTGTCTCCACTCTGTCTCCCTGTGTCTCCCTGTGTCTCCCCTGTGTCTCCCTGTGTCTCCCCGTGTCTCCCTGTGTCTCCCCTGTGTCTCCCTGTGTCTCCCCGTGTCTCCCTGTGTCTCCCCGTGTCTCCCCGTGTCTCCTTGTGTCTCCCTGTGTCTCCCCGTGTCTCCCCTCTGTCTCCCTGTGTCTCCTTGTGTCTCCTTGTGTCTCCCCGTGTCTCCACTCTGTCTCCTTGTGTCTCCCTGTGTCTCCACTCTGTCTCCTTGTGTCTCCCTGTGTCTCCACTCTGTCTCCTTGTGTCTCCCTGTGTCTCCACTCTGTCTCCTTGTGTCTCCTTGTGTCTCCTTGTGTCTCCCTGTGTCTCCACTCTGTCTCCTTGTGTCTCCCTGTGTCTCCTTGTGTCTCCCTGTGTCTCCCTGTGTCTCCTTGTGTCTCCCTGTGTCTCCTTGTGTCTCCTTGTGTCTCCCTGTGTCTCCTTGTGTCTCCCTGTGTCTCCACTCTGTCTCCTTGTGTCTCCCTGTGTCTCCTTGTGTCTCCCTGTGTCTCCACTCTGTCTCCCTGTGTCTCCATGTCTCCCTGTGTCTCCCCGTGTCTCTCCGTGTCTCCCCTGTGTCTCCCTGTGTCTCCTTGTGTCTCCTTAGGTCTCCCTGTGTCTCCACTCTGTCTCCTTGTGTCTCCCTGTGTCTCCTTGTGTCTCCCTGTGTCTCCACTCTGTCTCCCTGTGTCTCCATGTCTCCCTGTGTCTCCCCGTGTCTCTCCGTGTCTCCCCTGTGTCTCCCTGTGTCTCCCCTGTGTCTCCCTTCTGTCTCCCTGTGTCTCCCCGTCTCTCCCGGTGTCTCCCTGTGTCTCCCTGTGTCTCCCTGTGTCTCCACTCTGTCTCCCTGTGTCTCCACTCTGTCTCCACTCTGTCTCCCTGTGTCTCCACTCTGTCTCCCTGTGTCTCCCTGTGTCTCCACTCTGTCTCCCCGTGTCTCCCTGTGTCTCCCCGTGTCTCCCCTCTGTCTCCCCGTGTCTCCCTGTGTCTCCCCGTGTCTCCCTGTGTCTCCCCGTGTCTCCCCCTGTGTCTCCCCGTGTCTCCCCGTGTCTCCCCGTGTCTCCCTGTGTCTCCCCGTGTCTCCCCTCTGTCTCCCCTATGTCTCCCCTGTGTCTCCCTCTGTCCCCCCGTGTCTCCGTGTCTCCCTGTGTCTCCCCGTGTCTCCCCGTGTCTCCCCGTGTCTCCCTGTGTCTCCCCGTGTCTCCCCTATGTCTCCCCTGTGTCTCCCTCTGTCTCCCCGTGTCTCCGTGTCTCCCCGTGTCTCCGTGTTTCCACGTGTCTCCCTGTGCCTCCGCTCTGTCTCCCCGTGTCTCCGTGTCTCCCCGTGTCTCCCCGTGTCTCCCCGTGTCTCCCCGTGTCTCCGCTCTGTCTCCGCGCCTACTGGGGTAGTCTTTGGGGTGAGTCTGCTCCGACCAGTTTCCATAGAAGGTGAGACGGTACTTGGCCGTGTCGCAGGCACAGCACTGTGGAATGGGCTTCTTTGTGTCATCCTCCTCCCGCCCTGCAGCCACACCACACACAGGCACAGACAAAGGTCCCCCGTGTAGCCTCAACGGACTGTAGGGGCCAAGTGCTTTTAGCGAGGGTTGTTAGTGCAGCGTAGCGCTAACCAATACACCCACCCATCCACACACTCACACACAGACACACGCACACACACAGTGACACACACACACACACAGACACACACACAGTGACACACACACAGTGACACACACACACAGACACACGCACAGACACAGTGACACACACACAGACACACACACAGACACACACACACACAGTGACACACACACAGTGACACACACACAGTGACACACACACACAGACACACGCACAGACACAGTGACACACACACAGACACACACACAGTGACACACACACAGTGACACACACACAGTGACACACACACAGTGACACACACAGTGACCCACACACAGACACACACACACAGTGACACACACTCATACACAGTGACACACACAGTGACACACACACAGTGACACACACACACACACAGTGACACACAGACACACGCACAGACACACACACACAGTGACACACACACAGTGACACACACACAGTGACACACACACAGTGACACACACAGTGACCCACACACAGACACACACACACAGTGACACACACTCATACACAGTGACACACACAGTGACACACACACAGTGACACACACACACACACAGTGACACACAGACACACGCACAGACACACACACACAGTGACACACACACAGTGAGACACACTCATACACAGTGACTCACACACACAGTGACACACACACACACAGTGACACACACACAGTGACACACACAGACACACACACAGTGACACACACACACACAGACACACAGTGACACACGCACACAGTGACACACACACAGTGACACACACAGTGACACACACAGTGACACACACACAGTGACACACACAGTGACACACACACAGTGACACACACAGTGACACACACACACAGTGACACACACTCATACACAGTGACACACACACAGTGACCCACACAGACACACACACAGTGACACACACACACAGACACACAGTGACACACGCACACAGTGACACACACAGACACACTAACACACAGTGACACACAGAGTGACACACACACAGTGACACACACACAGTGACACACATAGAGTGACAGACACACACAGTGACACACACACACAGTCACACACACACAGTGACACAACAAAGATCCCCCATATAGCCTTAACAGACTGTAGGGGCAAGTGCTGTTAGCGAGCACCTATGAAGGCCGGAACGGTACACGAGGGGGTGGGTGGCCAGCACCACGCCCGACCGCCTTTGTCTCCCTAGTGGCAATGTTTACACATCGCACCAGGTACTCATTTGAGGCTGAGTCGACCTAGGGTAGGCCCGGGACCGGTTCAGATAATCGTCACTGGTGTTGGCCGTGAGCGGGAATCGAACCCGGGTCGCCAGGTTCATAGCGCAGCGTAGCGCTAACCACTACACCCACCACTCCCCACACACAGACACACACAGACACATACACACACAGACACAGTGACACACACACAGACACAGTGACACACACACAAACACACACACAGACACACACAGACACACACACACAGTGACACACACACAGACACACACACAGACACACACAGTGACACACACACAGACACACACACACAGTGACACACACACAGACACACACAGACACACACAGTGACACAGACACACACTCACACACAGTGACACACACACAGTGACACACAACAACAACCGCCATTCGCCACTAAGTAGCGGTGACGTCACCACGACGCTTGTGCCAGGCTATGTGCACCGTGAGGCCACGTGAAGTGTCGAACGCCCGCTGGCAGGAGGTCACGGGGCAGACCCAGGTGCCACGGGTCGACAGTGACACACACACACAGTGACACACACAGTGACACACACACACACAGACACACGCTCACACAGTGACACACACACAGTGCCATACACACACACAGTGTGTCCGTGCTGTTGAGGCTGAGTGGACCTAGAGGGGAGACGGTGCGAGGCTGTTGAGGCTGAGTGGACCTAGAGGCGAGATGGTGCGAGGCTGTTGAGGCTGAGTGGACCTAGAGGGGAGACGGTGGGGGCTGTTGAGGCTGAGTGGACCTAGAGGCGACACGGTGGGGGCTGTTGAGGCTGAGTGGACCTAGAGGCGAGACGGTGCGAGGCTGTTGAGGCTGAGTGGACCTAGAGGCGAGACGGTCCCGGGCTGTTGAGGCTGAGTGGACCTAGAGGCGAGACGGTGCAGGGCTGTTGAGGCTGAGTGGACCTAGAGGCGAGACGCTGTTGAGGCTGAGTGGACCTAGAGGCGAGACGGTGCCGGACTGTTGAGGCTGAGTGGACCTAGAGGCGAGACGGTGCCGGACTGTTGAGGCTGAGTGGACCTAGAGGCGAGACGGTGCCGGACTGTTGAGGCTGAGTGGACCTAGAGGCGAGACGGTGCGAGGCTGTTGAGGCTGAGTGGACCTAGAGGCGAGACGGTGCGAGGCTGTTGAGTCTGAGTGGACCTAGAGGCGAGACGCTGTTGAGGCTGAGTGGACCTAGAGGCGAGACGGTGCGAGGCTGTTGAGTCTGAGTGGACCTAGAGGCGAGACGCTGTTGAGGCTGAGTGGACCTAGAGGCGAGACGGTGCTCACCTCTCTCACACAAAGTTCTCGTCAGAGGCCCTTCCTCCTGGAACCAGATCACTCGCTTCATCACTAAACTCGCCCTGCACACATCATCATCATCAGCAGCATCATCAGCATCATCAGCAGCATCATCATCATCAGCAGCAGCATCATCAGCATCATCATCATCAGCATCGTCATCAGCAGCTTCATCACCAAACTCGCCCTGCACGCATCATCATCAGCAGCATCATCAGCATCATCATCAGCAGCATCATCATCAGCATCATCATCACCATCAGCATCATCATCAGCAGCTTCATCACCAAACTCGCCCTGCACGCATCATCATCAGCAGCAGCAGCACCATCATCAACAGCATCATCAGCAGCATCAGCAGCATCAGCTTCAGCAGCATCATCATCATCAGCAACATCATCAGCAGCAGCATCATCAGCAGCAGCATCATAGCGGGTGGGTGTCTGGGTGGGTGAGTGACTGGGTGAGTGACTGGGTGAGTGAATAGGCGAGTGACTGGGTGAGTGACTTGGTGAGTGACTGGGTGAGTGACTTGGTGAGTGACTTGGTGAGTTACTGGGTGAGTGACTTGGTGAGTGACTGGGTGAGTGAATAGGCGAGTGACTGGGCGAGTGACCGAGTGAGTGACTGGGTGAGTGACTTGGTGAGTGACTGAGTGAGTGACTTGGTGAGTGACTGGGCGAGTGACTTGGTGAGTGACTTGGTGAGTGACTGAGTGAGTGACTTGGTGAGTGACTTGGTGAGTGACTGGGCGAGTGACTTGGTGAGTGACTTGGTGAGTGACTGGGTGAGTGACTTGGTGAGTGACTGAGTGAGTGACTGAGTGAGTGAGTGACTTGGTGAGTGACTGGGTGAGTGACTGGGTGAGTGACTGGGCGAGTGACTTGGTGAGTGACTTGGTGAATGACTGTGTGAGTGACTTGGTGAGTGACTGAGTGAGTGACTGAGTGAGTGACTTGGTGAGTGACTGGGTGAGTGACTGGGTGAGTGACTGAGTGAGTGACTGGGTGAGTGACTTGGTGAGTGACTGGGTGAGTGACTGGGTGAGTGACTGAATGAGTGACTGGGTGAGAGACTGGGTGAGTGACTGGGTGAGTGACTGAGTGACTGACTTGGTGAGTGACTGGGTGAGAGACTTGGTGAGTGATTGAGTGAGTGACTGAGTGAGTGACTTGGTGAGTGACTGAGTGACTTGGTGAGTGACTGGGTGAGTGACTGAGTGAGTGACTAGGTGAGTGACTGGGCAAGTGACTTGGTGAGTGACTTGGTGAGTGACTGGGCGAGTGACTGAGTGAGTGACCTGGTGAGTGACTGGGTGAGTGACTGAGTGAGTGACTTGGTGAGTGACTGGGTGAGTGACTGGGTGAGTGACTGAGTGAGTGACTGAGTGAGTGACTGAGTGACATGGTGAGTGACTGGGTGCGTGACTGAGTGAGTGACTGGGTGAGTGACTGGGCGAGTGACTTGGTGAGTGATTTGGTGAGTGACTTGGTGAGTGACTGGGCGAGTGACTGGGTGAGTGCTTTGGTGAGTGCCTTGGTGAGTGACTGGGTGAGAGACTTGGTGAGTGACTGGGTGAGTGACTTGGTGAGTGACTGGGTGAGTGACTTGGTGAGTGACTGGGTGAGTGATTGAGTGAGTGACTGAATGAGTGACTTGGTGAGTGACTGGGTGAGTGATTGGGTGAGTGACTTGGTGAGTGACTTGGTGAGTGACTGGGCGAGTGACTGAGTGAGTGACTTGGTGAGTGACTGGATGAGTGACTGAGTGAGTGACTTGGTGAGTGACTGGGTGAGTGACTGAGTGAGTGACTTGGTGAGTGACTGGGTGAGAGACTTGGTGAGTGACTGGGTGAGTGACTGGGTGAGTGACTTGGTGAGTGACTGGGTGAGTGACTTGGTGAGTGACTGGGTGAGTGACTTGGTGAGTGACTGGGTGAGTGATTGAGTGAGTGACTGGGTGAGTGACTGGGTGAGTGACTGGGTGAGTGACTTGGTGAGTGACTGGGTGAGTGATTGAGTGAGTGACTTGGTGAGTGACTGGGTGAGTGACTGGGTGAGTGACTGGGTGAGTGACTTGGTGAGTAACTTGGTGAGTGACTGGGTGAGTGACTGAGTGAGTGACTGGGTGAGTGACTTGGTGAGTGACTGGGTGAGAGACTTGGTGAATGACTGAGTGAGTGACTGAGTGGGTGACTTGGTCAGTGACTGGGTGAGTGACTTGGTGAGTGACTGGGTGAGTGACTTGGTGAGTGACTGGGTGAGTGACTTGGTGAGTGACTGGGTGAGTGATTGAGTGAGTGACTGGGTGAGTGACTGGGTGAGTGACTGGGTGAGTGACTTGGTGAGTGACTGGGTGAGTGATTGAGTGAGTGACTTGGTGAGTGACTGGGTGAGTGACTGGGTGAGTGACTGGGTGAGTGACTTGGTGAGTGTCTTGGTGAGTGACTGGGTGAGTGACTGAGTGAGTGACTGGGTGAGTGACTTGGTGAGTGACTTGGTGAGTGACTGGGTGAGTGACTGGGTGAGTGACTTGGTGAGTGACTCACGAGAGGGAGACGCACCCGGCCCCAGGGGGCGGGGCCTCCCAGCGCAGCGTCACGCGGCTCCGCCTCCTCGGCGCCGCCTCCGTCACGGCGCGCGAGCAGTCGCCCACGTGACGCGTGTCCTCAGGGTCCACCAGCTGGGGGGAGGGGGGAGGTGGAGTGAGTGGGTGAGTGAGTGAGTGGGTGGGTGAGTGGGTGAGTGAGTGAGTGAGTGGGTGGTGAGTGGGTGAGTGGGTGAGTGAGTGGGTGAGTGGGTGAGTGGGTGGGTGAGTGAGTGGGTGGGTGAGTGGGTGAGTGAGTGGGTGGGTGAGTGAGTGGGTGAGTGAGTGCGTGAGTGAGTAGGTGAGTGGGTGAGTGGGTGAGTGGGTGGGTGAGTGGGTGGGTGAGTGGGTGAGTGAGTGAGTGGGTGGGTGAGTGGGTGAGTGAGTGAGTGAGTGGGTGAGTGAGTGGGTGAGTGAGTGGGTGAGTGAGTGGGTGGGTGGGTGAGTGAGTGGGTGGGTGAGTGAGTGAGTGAGTGGGTGGGTGGGTGGGTGAGTGGGTGGGTGGGTGAGTGAGTGGGTGAGTGGGTGGGTGGGTGGGTGAGTGAGTGGGTGGGTGAGTGAGTGAGTGGGTGAGTGAGTGAGTGAGTGGGTGAGTGAGTGAGTGGGTGGGTGGGTGAGTGAGTGGGTGGGTGGGTGAGTGGGTGGGTGGGTGGGTGAGTGGGTGGGTGGGTGAGTGAGTGAGTGAGTGGGTGGGTATGTGAGTGGGTGGGTGAGTGGGTGGGTGGGTGAGTGAGTGAGTGGGTGAGTGAGTGGGTGAGTGAGTGAGTGAGTGGGTGGGTGAGTGGGTGAGTGGGTGGGTGAGTGAGTGAGTGGGTGAGTGGGTGGGTGAGTGGGTGGGTGGGTGAGTGGGTGGGTGAGTTAGTGAGTGAGTGTGTGAGTGAGTGAGTGTGTGGGTGAGTGGGTGGGTGAGTGGGTGGGTGAGTGGGTGGGTGGGTGGGTGAGTGAGTGGGTGAGTAGGTGAGTGAGTGGGTGAGTGAGTGAGTGGGTGAGTGAGTGGGTGAGTGAGTGGGTGGGTGGGTGAGTGGGTGGGTGAGTGAGTGAGTGGGTGAGTGGGTGAGTGATTGCGTGAGTGAGTGGGTGAGTGGGTGAGTGAGTGAGTGTGTGGGTGAGGGAGTGGGTGAGTGAGTGAGTGGGTGAGTGAGTGGGTGAGTGAGTGGGTGGGTGGGTGAGTGAATGAGTGTGTGGGTGAGTGAGTGGGTGAGTGAGTGGGTGAGTGAGTGAGTGAGTAGGTGGGTGAGTGAGTGGGTGAGTGGGTGGGTGAGTGAGTGAGTGGGTGAGTGGGTGGGTGAGTGAGTGGGTGAGTGGGTGGGTGAGTGAGTGAGTGGGTGAGTGAGTGAGTGGGTGGGTGGGTGAGTGAGTGAGTGGGTGAGTGGGTGAGTGAGTGCGTGGGTGAGTGAGTGGATGGGTGGGTGAGTGAGTGAGTGGGTGAGTGGGTGGGTGAGTGAGTGGATGGGTGGGTGAGTGAGTGAGTGGGTGAGTGGGTGAGTGAGTGGGTGAGTGGGTGAGTGAGTGAGTGAGTGGGTGAGTGGGTGAGTGGGTGGGTGGGTGGGTGAGTGAATGAGTGTGTGGGTGAGTGAGTGGGTGAGTGAGTGGGTGAGTGAGTGAGTGAGTGGGTGAGTGAGTGGGTGAGTGGGTGGGTGAGTGAGTGAGTGGGTGAGTGGGTGGGTGAGTGAGTGGGTGAGTGGGTGGGTGAGTGAGTGAGTGGGTGAGTGAGTGAGTGGGTGGGTGAGTGAGTGAGTGAGTGGGTGAGTGGGTGAGTGAGTGAGTGGGTGAGTGGGTGGGTGAGTGGGTGAGTGAGTGAGTGGGTGAGTGGGTGAGTGAGTGGGTGAGTGAGTGAGTGGAGCGAGTGGGTGGGTGAGTGGGTGAGTGAGCGAGTGGGTGAGTGAGTGGGTGGGTGAGTGGTGAGTGAGTGAGTGAGTGGGTGGGTGGGTGAGTGAGTGAGTGGGTGGGTGAGTGAGTGGGTGGGTGGGTGAGTGAGTGAGTGGGTGAGTGAGTGGGTGGGTGGGTGGGTGAGTGGGTGAGTGGGTGGGTGAGTGGGTGGGTGAGTGGGTGAGTGAGTGAGTGAGTGGGTGAGTGAGTGGGTGGGTGAGTGGGTGAGTGAGTGAGTGAGTGGGTGAGTGAGTGGGTGAGTGGGTGAGTGAGTGAGTGGGTGAGTGGGTGGGTGAGTGTGTGGGTGAGTGGGTGAGTGGGTGGGTGAGTGACGTGATTGGGTGAGTGAGTGGGTGAGTGGGTGAGTGGGTGGGTGAGTGGGTGGGTGAGTGGGTGAGTGAGTGAGTGGGTGAGCGAGTGAGTGTGTGGGTGAGTGAGTGGGTGAGTGAGTGGGTGGGTGAGTGAGTGAGTGGGTGAGTGAGTGAGTGGGTGAGTGGGTGGGTGAGTGAGTGAGTGGGTGAGTGGGTGAGTGATTGGGTGAGTGAGTGGGTGAGTGGGTGAGTGAGTGAGTGTGTGGGTGAGTGAGTGGGTGAGTGAGTGAGTGAGTGAGTGGGTGAGTGAGTGGGTGAGTGAGTGGGTGAGTGTGTGGGTGAGTGAGTGGGTGAGTGAGTGGGTGAGTGAGTGAGTGGGTGAGTGAGTGGGTGAGTGGGTGGGTGAGTGAGTGAGTGGGTGGGGTGAGTGAGTGGGTGAGTGGGTGGGTGAGTGAGTGAGTGGGTGAGTGAGTGAGTGGGTGGGTGGGTGAGTGAGTGAGTGGGTGAGTGGGTGAGTGAGTGGGTGGGTGAGTGAGTGGATGGGTGGGTGAGTGAGTGAGTGGGTGAGTGGGTGGGTGAGTGAGTGGATGGGTGGGTGAGTGAGTGAGTGGGTGAATGGGTGAGTGAGTGGGTGAGTGGGTGAGTGTGTGTGTGGGTGGGTGAGTGAATGAGTGTGTGGGTGAGTGAGTGGGTGAGTGAGTGGGTGAGTGAGTGAGTGAGTGGGTGAGTGAGTGGGTGAGTGGGTGGGTGAGTGAGTGAGTGGGTGAGTGGGTGGGTGAGTGAGTGGGTGAGTGGGTGGGTGAGTGAGTGAGTGGGTGAGTGAGTGAGTGGGTGGGTGGGTGAGTGAGTGAGTGAGTGGGTGAGTGGGTGAGTGGGTGAGTGAGTGAGTGAGTGGGTGAGTGGGTGGGTGAGTGGGTGAGTGAGTGAGTGGGTGAGTGGGTGAGTGAGTGGGTGAGTGAGTGAGTGAGCGAGTGGGTGGGTGAGTGGGTGAGTGAGCGAGTGGGTGAGTGAGTGGGTGGGTGAGTGGTGAGTGAGTGAGTGAGTGGGTGGGTGGGTGAGTGAGTGAGTGGGTGGGTGAGTGAGTGGGTGGGTGGGTGAGTGAGTGAGTGGGTGAGTGAGTGGGTGGGTGGGTGAGTGGGTGAGTGGGTGGGTGAGTGGGTGGGTGAGTGGGTGAGTGAGTGAGTGAGTGGGTGAGTGAGTGGGTGGGTGAGTGGGTGAGTGAGTGAGTGGGTGAGTGAGTGGGTGAGTGGGTGAGTGAGTGAGTAGGTGGGTGAGTGGGTGAGTGGGTGGGTGAGTGGGTGGGTGAGTGGGTGAGTGGGTGGTGAGTGAGTGATTGGGTGAGTGAGTGGGTGAGTGGGTGAGTGGGTGGGTGAGTGGGTGGGTGAGTGGGTGAGTGAGTGAGTGGGTGAGCGAGTGAGTGTGTGGGTGAGTGAGTGGGTGAGTGAGTGGGTGGGTGAGTGGGTGAGTGAGTGAGTGAGTGGGTGAGTGAGTGGGTGAGTGAGTGAGTGAGTGGGTGAGTAAGTGAGTGAGTGGGTGAGTGAGTGAGTGAGTGGGTGAGTGAGTGAGTGAGTGGGTGAGTGAGTGAGTGAGTGGGTGAGTGGGTGAGTGAGTGGGTGAGTAAGTGAGTGAGTGGGTGAGTAAGTGAGTGAGTAGGTGAGTGAGTGAGTGGGTGAGTGAGTGAGTGAGTGGGTGAGTGAGTGAGTGGGTGAGTGGGTGAGTGAGTGGATGAGTGAGTGGGTGAGTGGGTGGTGAGTGAGTGGTGAGTGAGTGAGTGGGTGGTGAGTGAGTGGTGAATGGGTGGTGAGTGAGTGGTGAATGGGTGAGTGAGTGGGTGGTGAGTGAGTGGTGAGTGGGTGGTGAGTGAGTGGTGAGAGGGTGGTGAGTGAATGGTGAGTGAGTGGGTGAGTGAGTGGTGAGTGAGTGGTGAGTGAGTGGGTGGTGAGTGAGTGAGTGGTGAGTGAGTGAGTTGGTGAGTGAGTGACTGAGTGATTGGTGAGTGAGTGAGTGATTGGTGAGTGAGTGACTGAGTGAGTGAGTGACTGAGTGGGTGAGTGGTGAGTGAGTGGGTGAGTGAGTGAGTGGTGAGTGAGTGGTGAGTGAGTGAGTGGTGAGTGAGTGGTGAGTGAGTGGCGAGTGAGTGAGTGGTGAGTGAGTGGTGAGTGAGTGGTGAGTGAGTGGTGAGTGAGTGTTGTGTGAGTGAGTGAGTGGTGAGTGAGTGGTGAGTGAGTGAGTGGTGAGTGAGTGGTGAGTGAGTGAGTGGTGAGTGAGTGGTGAGTGAGTGAGTGGTGAGTGAGTGGTGAGTGAGTGGTGAGTGAGTGTGTGAGTGAGTGAGTGAGTGGTGAGTGAGTGAGTGGTGAGTGAGTGGTGAGTGAGTGGTGAGCACCTGAAACCTCCCCACAAAGTCTGAGTGTTGTGTTAGTGAGTGGTGAGTGAGTGGTGAGTGAGTGAGTGGTGAGTGGTGAGTGAGTGGTGAGTGAGTGGTGAGTGAGTGGTGAGCACCTGAAACCTCCCCACAAAGTCTGAGTGTTGTGTGAGTGAGTGAGTGGTGAGTGAGTGGTGAGTGAGTGGTGAGTGAGTGG